CTGGCAAGTTGTGGCATGTGGGCCAAATTTGGTGCAGCGTCTATTTTCATATAGCCTGTGAGCTAAGAATGGCTTTCACATTTTTAAATGGTTGAAAAAAATCAAAAGAATATTTCGTGATGTGTGAAAATTACTGAAATTCAAATTTTACCGTCTATAAATAAATTCTATTGGACCCAACCACGCTCATTCGTTACGGCTGCTTTTGTGCAGAGCTGAGTAGCTGCCACGCAGACTGCGGCCCTGAAAGCCCACACAGGAGACGGAGGCCGGCCTCTGCCTTAAAGTAATGCGTGCTTTCTATTTTCTTCACTAAATCTGATGCTGTAATGGGGACTTCTGCTGCTCTTCCAAACTAATTCTTACCTTGTTATATTTTGCATTTTTAAATATCTGCTATTTTTCATGAGCTTATGAAACTTTCTAGGATATCCATTTTGAAGCAACATTTTATTATTTTCTTTAGATCTGTCTATAGCACATTTTCACCCTGCTTCGTGATTTACTAACATGAAGTCACTGAGATTTGGAATTCTGCAATTCCAAAAACAATGTACAATCTGTACGTTGTGCATGTTATAGGGGTAAAAGCAAATGTAGTTCCTTATGTATGAAGTAGAAGCATTCCTATTTCAAGCAGTTTAATTAGCCAACAGTGCTCTCTATTAACCAGTAAAGGACTTTAACTCAGAGGGAAGGCGGGGGTGGGTGGGAACTTGTATGTATATATGCATAACCCATGGACACAGATAATAATGTGTGAAGGGCTGAGGTGGGCTAGAAGGGGTCAATGGTTTACAATAAAGTTTAAAAAAAAAAGGAACTAAACAACAACAAAAAAGGACGTTAACTTAAACAGACTATACACAAATCCTCCCAGTTGATGGAAATGTCACTATACTTGGTTTGGTAAATTAAACATCGCTTCCCTGACTCTGAACGGCCCATATTCTGGGGAAGGAGTCCATACACCACACTTCCGGTCCCTATGTGAACTCTACAGAATGTGAAGCACTTCTCTGAAGACCAATCCCTCGCTGGTTATTGTACTCATACAACCTGATCTGAAGTCTACTGGGCTGGGATATTTAGGGCCCTTTGTGGTGGCAAATATGGCTGTGCGGCTGAAAAGATTCAATTATTCCCTAGGAAATAGTTTTGTTCTCCCTCCGATTGTTTAAGGTAGCAACTGTTGTGGGATGACCAGCATTTTAAGTGACTCTGCCTGAGAGGGTGTGCTGGAAACTCTAAGGAGAGTCTTTAGCTTTTCATTTCTAAAGGGTTTTTCAGCTTTGGATTTCCGTGTTTCTTCCCATCCTGCTGGGACTTACTGTTGTTAGCAACCTCCTGTGTGGTTCTACGGCATGTTGACCTCTTTGAAACCTTTCCAGGTGTCATTGCCACTCTCTTGATCCCTGCAATCCAAGCTGCATTGTTTGGTGGAGTTACGTTCTGTGAACTTTAGAAATCCTCCCTGCGACTATGAATTGACTAACACCCAAGGTAGCATAAGCAGCAGACACAAATGTTCCTGAAACCACGCCTGCTGGGCAGTGCAGGATGTGACTTGGAGCCTGGAAAAGAGAACAGTTTGCTCACTTGCGAGGCTATGACTACCTCCAGGTGCAGTTTGAAGCTAAGTGGCTAGTTTTTCTTGATCCTCAGATGGAACCTTTCATTAGAACACAGCAGAATCTGTGATTGTGGATGGAAGGAATTCCATGAAGACCCCATGGGCCCAGTAAGACCTCTGGCTTCAGAGGATCCTAAAACACACTTCCTTCAGCATATGTGGCTGTGGGAGAGAGCCACTGTGGTTTGCTGTTTGTTGTCATTTTTTTTTTTAAAGAAATCTGATCTAAGTTTAGCCTAAGATTATAATGAACACAGCTTATTCTAAAATTTGTGTCCAGAGGCTGCAGTTACAGATTTAAAAGAAAAAAAGTTTAATAGACACCTGTCTTACTTATGTCTCCAGTTTGTCATTAAAAATTATTTGTTTTTGGTAATACAGTTAAGGCTTTGTAAGGATTCCTACTTGGACTAAGAACCCCATTAGTCTAGCTTTAAAAGTGGAGTATTAGACAGTGATTTCCAAGCCCTTCTTTTAAAGCCTCACAGCTTGGCTATCCTAACAGACAATTCATGCTGCCAAAACCTAGGAGAGTTTGACAACGTTTTGAAAATAACACTATACTGAGAATGAAAACATATGGGATGCCAACTCTACTGCTATCTTAGCTTAATATTTCTAGCTTTCTCCTTGCCTAAAAATATGCATAAGAAATGACACAAAGCACACAGGGATACTGTGAAAACAAAATTAGTGATAAATACAAAAAGACTTTGGAAACGTGCAAGAGCGTTAACATGAAAGGTGTTGAGGCCGCGGTGGCCGTCCATTCTTTCCCGTTGGCCTCCTTCCACCCACCACTGTATGCCCATCACATGAAGGGCGATCACAGAACAGCTGGCTCATACACCACCGAGCCAGCTGTTCTCACGATCTCCCTTCCCATGTGGGCTCCTGTGTCCGGGGAACCCTGAGGGTCAACAGGGCCATGGTGGTCCATGCATCTTAGGGGGCTGTGAGGGGCAGTAAGCCTCCTCTGCTTCACTTCCTGAGGCCAGCAGCTGTGTGTGAATGGGGACGAGGCGACAGGTACAGTCAGTGTGATAGTGGGGAAGGGCATGTAGTGAGAATAGAGCCACCGTTGTCTGATAATTATTCACCTCACTGACTACAGATGAGAAGTTTTCTTACTGACCCTGGGGAACTGGAGGATGAAGCAAGGCTGTAAAGAGATGCCTCGATGGGTCCATGACTCAGAAAATACATTTTGAGAACAGACCAAGGACAGGACACGCTTTGATTTGGTTGCTGTGCCCAGACCCTGACCCCCTCAGGAGCGCTGACCATTCTCCGGTCCCAGGAACGGGCTGAGATGGCTATAACATCACAGAAGATTTGCCACCTTGTTATTGGACTCTGAGCTCCTGAAGGCCGGACTGCAGACTCTACCCTTCCCTTTCCCTGTTACACTTGCAGCTCCCAGCTGCATGTAGCTATCTTCTCCCTCGTGTGTATATAACCAGCCAACTGGCGGGGTGGGGGTGGGATGCAGAGCAGATTTTCGTGGATGACCTGCTGCTCTCCCATACCGGTGGCGTTATTGGAATAAATGCTCATATACGATTCAACCCCGTCTCTGCTGAATTGGTTCAAGTAGTGACAGGCAGCCTGGACCCCTTGGTTGCCGTTTACAAGTGGACGATAGCCCATGCGCAGCTTCTCAGAGGCCTGCTTCCTGCCACGGCTAATTCACTGCTGTGAATGCAATCACCATGGAAACCTTTCAGAACTCTAAAAGGCGACAAGTATCAACCCAGGTTGTCTGGGTGGCTGGAATCATAGGTGGTCATTTTCTTATTTGGTCTATATATCTGTATGTTCTCACTTTTGCAATGAATAAGAAACAAAGTAAAAAGGAACTTAATTTTAAAACAAATAAACAAAACACCCTTTAACTATATTATAAGAGGCAAATAACCAAACGACTTAAAAACTCTCTAACACGGAAATTTCTCAAGAGGAAAATTTGAAAACAAGGGCATGTCATTCACTCTAAAATTATGAGTGCAATATTATATCATTTGAAAAATATTTGTAAGAACTTTTTACTAAAAAGGATTTTTGTAGTTTTAATGTCCTGTCAAATTAACTAGAATTGGATAAACAATATACTTAAATAAGAATTGTACTGTATCTACATTTCCAAATTTTATAGTAAGAGTGTGGCAATTCATGAAACAGCAAGGAAGAAATCAGAATCTAGCTACTGGGGCGGGTGGGGGGGGGGGGTGGGGGGGGGTGGGGGGAGAGCAAAGCGGGAGCCCGAGGGCATAGCATGTCCTGAAGCCGGTCTATGGAAGCTGGTCCCAGATGGGAAAACTTGTTCTCTAATTTAATGACTTTCTTTTAATCACAAGCAGACAGTTTCCTTATTACCCCGAGTGTTAGAAATACGTTATTCCTGAGAGCACTTCCTAGGGTTTCTTTGACTCATTTAAGACCACATCTTTGTGTTTAATTCACCCTCATATTATCCCTCCGGGGCACATCCCTCTAATTATTCCCATCGAATGTGACAGGAAAATGGAATTACACTACTTGGAGAACAGACATCCTTTGGTATGTCTCTCCTCAGTGCTCCCTTGGGCATATTCTGTTGTCCTGCTCACTTCATTACAGACCAGGAGCTGTCCCTCAGAAGGCGAGGATTACCTTTGAACTCCCAGTGCCTGGCACATGCTTGGCACACGGTAACAATCTGAATAAATAGCCCGGCCGGCGTGGCTCAGTGGTTGAGCATTGACCTAGGACCCAGGAGGTCACAGTTCGATTCCCAGTCAAGCCACATGCCCAGGTTACAGACTCTATCCCCAGTAGGGGGCGTGCAGGAGGCAGCCAATCAATGATACTCTCTCATCATTGATGTTTCTCTCTCTCGCTCCCTCTCTCTCTCTAATCAATAAAAATATATTTTAAAACATCTGAATAAACAAATGAATAATAATACCCAAGGCATAATGCTTACAGTTTATCAAACACTGGTGCCTTATACGTATTTATTGTTTAGTCCTCACCATCCCATGAAACAGTTACTGTTATTATCCCCATGTTACATGTGAGAAAGCTGATGTGTGGGAAGTAAAGCAAGGTCACACCCGGCCAGGATCTACACCTACGTCCAGATTCAGTCTCGTGGCCACCGGGCCGTTCCACCGCCTGCGCTCCCGGGAGAGCGTCCTCTCCAAGGGACGGTGGGAACACTGTGCCCCCACCGCTCAACGTTTCTGGGTTCCTGTCAGGTGTGGCTGACGTGGGTCCTTGGGAGACCCACCCAAAAGGAGAAATAGCTGGACACAGGCACACAACTGCAGAACAAGTGAACCGCCGGCCTTAACGATCGCTGTGCTGTGAGCTGCTTCTCACATACCTGTGGGGATCTGTGCGAGCGCCAGCTGTACTGGTGACGGTGGAGGCTGGCCAGCAGGACGTTCTCATCAGTGTCCACCTGGCCAAACCGCAGCGTCTCCTGGGTGTCGTTACAGATCACAAAATGGCTGAAGACCAACTCCTCCACCTCAGGGCATTGGTTCTGAAAGAAAAGGAATAGGAAAGCCAACGTGCATCAGATTAATTGCAAGATGTTTGGCAGCTGTCTGCCCAGTGGCGATTGTTACAACGCAGGAACACTCAAGGATCTGCTGTCATTAGCTCGTGTATACAAAGGATTCTATACTTCCAGGACAAGCACCAAAAATATCTTAAAGAGATCTTACACGGTCCAAAAATATGTTTTGACTTATACTCCTGCAAAATAAATCATAGACACAGAAGAGTAAAAGAACAATGAGATCCCTCAAACTTTTAACATTTTAAAATGAATTAACATCCTACAGAGAACGCTGGGCTGGGTAGTGCACGTGTTTGAGCAGAGTGCTGGCGGCTAGAATTACCGTGTTCCTGGCCTTCTCAACTCGGCAATCAAGACCAATTACAAAGCCACAGTTTGTACCCTACAGAAAGTAAGGATCTTTTAGGTAATACGTCCCCAGATCCCTTAAGGGGGAGGGAGGTGGGGAGAGACAGAGAGAGAGAGTGTGTGTGTGTGTGTAAATGTGCTCAGGGAGAGATGCAAATAAAACCACAAGTTTCCCTCTATTGTTAAGAGGCTGCACACACAAAACAGACCTGCTCCAGAGTCGGGTAAGCCAAGTGCAGTTTTCAAGAGAAGTATGTTAGCTAAAAAACAGGTGTTGCTGTCTGTTGCAGCTGATAGTCTTCAATCAGCGAATGTCTCCCATGAACCTGTGAAGGCTCAGCAAATTAGTAATGGGCTCCTGTGTTTATGCCTCCTTTTCAACTTAGTGGTGTCTCCCCTGGTTGCTGTTATATTAAAACACTGGCAAAGTGATAGAGAATTTCTGTTCTTACTCTGGTTAGGTTATGGCTTAATAAACAGTAAGTATGCTTTGGGTAAACGAAAAGAAAAGCTAAATAAATGATGCTTGAGAATGCAAGAAGAAAAGCATAAACCAGCCCATCGATTTGCAGACAATGGGAGGTAAGATGCTTCTCCGCTGGCCTGTTTCCTGGCTGTGGATGTAAATGACGCCACAATGCCACACGCTGTCATTGGCCGTTTTACCGAACCCTCACGAGCACAGGGAGTTACGCGATGGAGAGGCCTGAAGCCCAGTGGATGGAGGAACCCACCTGAATCTAGGCCGGACCAGGACCTGACCTAGAACTCACCCAGAGCAGTTCCTGGGAGGAGGACTCCTCGTCACCCGCCAGTCCCCAGATGGGGGCAGTGCTCTGTGGCTGCAGCTGGTGAAGAGGCGCTGAGGTAGCTCCTTCCAGACATCCCTGAGGACTCCCAAGCCCTCGCTCTATCACCCAGCCATTCCCACCAAACCTCTCTGCTCCCGGAGCGCCACCTTGCTGGACAGCCACACTAACCACAGAAACAGTCTCTGTTCAGTATCACAGGAATGATAACAGCAGTTATCTGCTGTCTCCCATAACGCTCTCGGCTGCGGCTTTTAATCCCAAACTGCGACTTCATGGCCTGCCAGCAGGTTCCAGACGTCCTGGCCCTGCCACATCCGACCTCCTCCCCACTTGCTCACGACAGTCCAGCAACAGCCCAGCTCCGACAGCCCCTCTCAGGTCCTCCCACACGATCCTGACCACGCTCAGCTCACCCAACACATCACTCTCCTGCCTCAGTGCCTGTCCCCTGCCTCCACATCCTTCCTCCTGGCTCGACAAGCTCTTTCCACTCAGCCTTCAGGCTCCTGTGTCCAGGCTCTGTCCTCGGAGCAGCCTCTGAGCCCTCCCCACATCAGGGCCCTGTTTTATGCTCGCATCTTACTCCATCTTTGCAGAATTACCCCTCTGGGACTAAGGAATTATTTGTGTGACCGTGGGTTCAATATTGTCTCCATCACTGGACTCCATGCTTCATAAGGGCAGGAATCAGTCTGTGCTATTTATAACTTTACCTCTAGTTCTCAGCATAATGCCTGACACATAAAATACTCAATAAAAACTTATGAAACAAATATAGAAGTTCAATTTTTAAAAGTATGAATTGTAATAAATGCTCACAATAGAAAAGTTAGAAAATACAGAAAGTCTGGATTGTTTTAAAGTCTCTAACTGCGACTAACGTTTCCATGAATTTTCTTCCAGCAGTTTTGCTCTTCTGAGTGTCCCGCCTGTTCCTGTTCGAGTCCATCCTATCCAATCCTCCCTTCTGCACCTTATATAAGGTTCGTAATCAAACGGGAGTCCCATGTATAATTAGTCCTAATGGTTTTTCCATTTAGCATTATGTAAGCAACACAAGCTGCTCTCCCTGTAAACAGTTTTCCTCTCCTTTAGGCCCAAGAGCACAAACATGAAGACAGGATATGAGCCCAACTCCCACCTAGATAGACATCCCAAGGTTGGAATTCAGTTTTCATAATGAACTGGGATCTCTGCGCTGGTGACACAGAGGTTAAGTTGCCAGATGGGGCTTGAGTAGAAAAAAAAATCATATTACTTTCCTCATCTCTGAAAACTGACCTTTCATAAATGATGAGGGTTTTAGGAAAAAATGTAAATGAAAGAACACAAGGGGGTTGTTTACATTTTTCTAAAGAATACTCACAGTCCTCAGGGAGCTGTTTCCCTACTGCTCCTTCAGCGTGGGGCTCATTATAACTGCAACACGCTTAGGCATTTCTTGGACTGTTTTAAATTCTGGTATAAAAAGATCATACACATTTCATATGACTTCCAGAGGCTAAACCTCAGAATGTTCACTCAGATGTGTAATTAAAAGGTGGCTTATTTACATTTAAGGTTTGCGTTGGAGTGTTGTGTAGGCATTTGTAGTTAAACAGAGATATCGTTTTGGTGTAAGATAAGACACATGAGTATAAGCCTGATTTTTAAATAAAAATCCCCTTTAAGTGCTATTTTGTTCAAATGTGGGAATGTGACATAAAAATAAAAAGCAAACTTCAAATGTCATTTTGGGTCCTTAAGCTGGTTTCACAAGACATTAATTATTTACCAACCCCCCCCCCCCAAAAAAAACCAACCCAACAACAACAAAAAACAAAAACCAACAAAAAACTACCACCAGAGAAATCAGACACTAATGAAGGCTTCTGTTAATCTTGAACTTGTGACCTAAAGGTGAAAGGCCAAATTGTTTCATGCTTCATCTGTCTGGTCCATCTACACTGGATACAAATGACTTGTCTCAGAGATGAATCTGATAAAAAGTATGTGGAGAACTCAACATATCCTGCTTATTAAATTCATATTTCTCATGGGCAACAATTCCACTGTATAGATCACTATACACACAATAAAATCCAAGTTTTCCCCTCTAAAGGGGATAAACCACATTCTGAATATTTTAGAAACAATGAACTTAATAACCCTTTATAAGCCCATTTCAATGTCACATGTCCTATAATTTTGAAGTTGTGCATTTCTGTATTTACTTTAGAATACACAGGGTTAGATGCCTACCACATTAAAACTTGGTGGCAAGTACCCTTGACACGGGAGGAAACAAGAAAATTACAGCAACAATTACAGAAGTATATCCGCTTGTGGCTCATGTTAACATTGCCAAATCCCTGTGTAAATCAGAACCAACTATTCATAGAATGTACCTGTCAGCAATATGCTACGTGACATATGGCTCTACTTAATCAAATATACAATTCCATTAAAAAAAAAACCCTCAGAATATTCCTTCAAGGCACTGGGCTAGCCAGTCATTCACACTCTGATGTGGTTTAAAACATTTAAATATTTATGCACTGTGTTATTTATATGTATGCCTGTGTCTAAGAGAACATTTTCACCCTGAGAGGGAACTGGGATTTCTGGAGGCCATTTTGCAGTAGTTGCTACACACGAGTCCCCTTATAATGGCCCCGATACCAAGACAAAAATATCCTACGTTTAAATCCTCTATCAATGACTCTTTTATGTTTTCTAGGTTTGTTTTTTATTAAATGCATTGTTCAAAATATGACAAAAAACAGAAATTGGAGCCATGAAAGTTTTTTTCACATCGCTATTCGAACCAGCTGCAAAGATTTAGATCACACTAGCTCTTATTTTACGCATGTCCTTTGCAACAAGAAAACCATGGAATGCCCTTAAAAAGGAATTTTAAAATATAAAACAGATGTGTTATCTTCTTTCCCTTTGCTATTGTAGTGCCATGTTAGGTAATTAATTCCTTAGTCTTGTATAGGTCTTTGTGCACATAAAGGAAAGTTTATTCCCATAAAGATTCTGATGCCCGAGAACTCAAGCCCCTCCCCCTGCACTGTGCCTGTTCCCATGTGAGGTCAGTGCGGGATGGAGGACCATTTCTCTTGGGGAGCCAGCTCCACACAAATGCATGTAACATACACAAAAGGTGGGAAGTGCCTCAGCTTACGCAGCAACACGAACTTTATGGAAATACAATATTATACTGACTATCAGAAAGAGAAGAGGAAGTGATTTGTTCTTAAATCACTGAGTATATTATCATCCAAACATTCAAATTAAAATCCATTATGAAGTGCTTTTTAATGATTCAAAATGGCAGACTGTCATAGGAGAAAGACTTGTGCTCACATGTTTCCTCTGTGAAAAGATGGAAGGCTTATTATCAGAGAGGCGCGCCCACAGGTCCTTCCGTCTGCAATGGGTGCTCAGACAACTTGATACATAGCTGAGCTGAAGCTTTGGCAAACTAGAGCCATAAAACTTGAAAACTATTTCTGGGAATATGTTACTTTCCACACAGATGTGGTACATTAGTCACAAAAATGTGGGCATGCTCTCCTATGCATCTGTAGAGAACCCATATCCTCCAAAGCTTTTATGCATCACTTAGCCAAAACAGAGAAGGTCCCAAATAAGATGGTGCCCATCAAACTCTCCGTTCTCTCACACTGGAGTCTATGCTTATCACTAGAAGTGATAACAGAGTGCCTAGTCAAAGCTCACACGTGGACGAACTGAACATGGTCTCGGGCGCACGTACCTGTTGCCAAGCCTGCACTGCAGTGTTTAGGGAGTGAACCGCGTGTTGCCCAAAGTTTACGAACATAGAATCGACGATGACGGTGCAGTCGAGCCGCTTTTCTGCTGCGTCGCTGGAAACGGCCATCTGTCCAGAGACGCTGAAGGGTCTCACCAGGCTCTGCATGGTCACGTTCCTGCACTCCAGAAGCTTGCAGTCTGCGTGGGCTGAGAACTGGACCTCCTGACAGACGGAACTGTTGCTCCACTGTCGGAGATACAGGTGTGGCTCTCGGAAGGAAATGATCATGTATTCCAGCTCAGGTGGCACATTTTTATCCGAAACAAATGGCTGTAGGTAGGGCGGCGGAGCTGTTGGAAAACAAGCAAGGAAAAGAGCAACTGAGATGAGCCTGTGCTTTACGGAGATAAAGAGATGACGTTTAAATTATTCGGTTTTTGGTTATTGAATTCAATACTGGATATTTAATAAATTTAAACGTCCTCCTGAAGATAATGCAATATTTGAACTGCCATTTGGTATTTGCAAGCAAAACTGGTTTGTTCAACCAACAAGGCCTCTTAAATACATATTGTCTCCAAAGGTTACAGTCAGTTTCACAGGCAAACTTTGATCACAGAGACAAGAAATAAAATGAAGAGGAGGTAAATATCCGAGGAGAGTTTCTTGGAAGTGTCTGTATCTACCCACCAAATCTCAAAAGCAAAGTCATGACTCAGAGAGTTAGACAAATCAGGTTGAACTCCATTTTTGCTGAAAAGGCAAGATGTTTAACAGCAGCTGTGTTTAGTTTTAATCTGATTTTTCCCCTTTTTTCCATTACATGTAGGTTGAAAACCTAATTTCTGAATAAAATGTATTGGCTAGAAAAGGTTTGGTAAAGGCTTTGAGGAATAATATTCATGTAATATTAGCAAATCTACAAAAGGCCACTTTGGGGCTGTGGGGAAATTTAATCTTTGACTGTACAAGCTTCTAAAAGTGCTACTCCTTCAAATTATTGGAGAAATTGCCAATCTTTTGTAGAATGTAGTCATGCTTTTAAAATAAGGTGATATCAAGCGTTTTTGGAATCTATCTGCCATTAATGTAATGGGTCAGGATATAGAACAAAAACATGTATTTCCTTCAAAAAGATCTAATTGGAATAATAGCAAAACCTGCAATTTTAGTAACTTGCTTGAAAATTCCTATGGAAAACATGCAAAATCATGTCAGTTCAATACAATCAGTAACCTATATAATAGGTCCATAAGACAGCTCAAAAGTAAGAAGCACACCTGTTATATGAAGTTAACTTCAGAATAACGTTGCCAGTGCTCACTGTTAGGGGAAATGAGGCCGCTTCTAAAGCCTTTCACCAGCGTGTGGGTGGTGGTCGGCAGAGAGGACCTCTGGGTGGGGAAGTGATTAGCAATCACAGCACTTTGTAACATCACTAACACTCTAGCGCACAGAATGGAAACCCCTCCAAAACTTTTTATTTCCTCAAAAGAAATTATCTGGGTAAAAACAGATGAATTGTGTCTTGAGAACCCACAAGACAAAACAATGAGTATTAAGTGGATGTGATTGTGATGCTAAAATGAAGAGTACCTGTGCCTAGTTGATCCAAGTGATGACAAAGATGGAACTCCAGGTGAGCAAACTGGAGGGAAATGCAAAGAGATGGGACAAACCATGGGGTGAAGCAGGAGTCCACCCGGGTGCAGGCAGCCAGGGCTGTTGGTGTTACAAGCTGGTCACAAGTGCTTTGAGAACCAGATTCACTTGCAGAGCTATGGGAAAGAAGAGAAAAAAGAAGTTCAATAACCTAAATCTCCCAATATCATGTAAGTGAAATGTCTTTCGATAGGGTTCTTAAAGCTGGTACGCATAATCCCATAGTCAATGTTATCAAATCTTTTGTATTTACTCACATAAATTACAATGGGGCCTTGACTTACGAGTGTCCCTACTAACGAGTTTTTTGAGATACCAGCTGTCTCTCGGCCGATTTTTTGCATTGAGTTGATAGAGTAATTTGAGTTAACAAGCTCCTTAACGAGCGTCAATGTTATCAAATCTTTTGTATTTACTCACATAAATTAGTTGTTTTAAAACATTCAGGTCATGTGATTAGTCCCTATGAGCTACTAGCAGGAAAATTTCAAAGCCATTCCTCAAACCCCAGGCCATGCTGACATCTCTGCAACCCATTTTTTTTTTCCATCTACATCTCATGTAACGTATGGACAATTTGATCTCACATTAAGATCAACACAACTCAGAGCATGACTGCTGTTCAAAACACCCAATACTTTCAGTGTCACCATAAATGTTTCACTTCTGCAGATTGTCCACATCCATGTCCCCATGTGAACGAGTCAGTACTCTTTACTGAACACCCACTGAAAGCTGTACGAAGTGCCACACAGTCCTGACCATGATCAGAAGGACCCAGGTCCCAGGGACCATTACCCTGCATGGCCCTCTCTTCACTTGCCCATCCTCTTCACACCATTTCACACAAGTAAACCTGACCAGCAGGAATAGTGAGGGCATCGGCAGGAGGGAAGACGTTTGTAGGGGTGGCTGCTGGTGTGCAGGGGGACACGCTGCCTCGCTGCCTTGCCCCCGTGCCAGCAGAAGCCCGAGAGCTGGGGATTGTGAGGGGCAAGGTGCAGCCTGGCCACTGTGAACGCTGAGTGATGCTGCCCACGTCCCTCTCACTGTCTTCCACGCCCTTCTTCCCAAATCCAAAATTCCTCTGCAGTTATGGTAGCTTGGCTCCCCAATCCACGAGGAGCCTCGCGAAGTAACACTGTGATTTACAGTATCCTAGGGGGAACTTCGACAGGAAAAACTAAAGAAATAAATCCTTGGTTTTCCAAGAACTCACAGTCTGACTGGTGATATAAAATATGTGGACATTTAGAAACATTATACAACAGCCACCACCCACGGACAGAAAAGTCAGAAGAGCTGCCAGAGTGGAAACAAGGAACGCAGGATGGTGTGGGGTGAACCATGTGGATGCTCGGAGTACAGATCTTCAGCTGAGTACTGAGAGAGGCAGCGGAAAAGCTGGTGAGGAGAGCTGGGGAGAAGGAGAAGCTGGTGAGAAGGAGAGCTGGGGAGGAGGAGAGCTGGGGAGAAGGAGAGCTGGGGAGAAGCTGGTGAGGAGAGCTGGGGAGGAGGAGAGCTGGGGAGAAGGAGGAGCTGGGGAGAAGGAGGAGCTGGGGAGAAGGAGAGCTGGGAGCGCGGCCTGCAGACGCAGGGTGCAGCGTGCGTGAGGGACCTGCTCAGTCAGGGCACCCGAGCTTTGTAAGGCGACCTCTGCCAAGGCTGGAAGAGCACAAGCCCTTGTTCTTCACTTACAGAAACCTGCACCAGCTCCCACTGGAGTCACTGAGAGATGAGGGGCACAGAGCGTCCACACCGGTGGAACTGTGCCTTCACTCACATAACACAGTTGTGGGTCCGGAAGCCATTGGGTCCCTTGTGTTTGGATCTTGGTGACTGCTCAGAAATTGGCCCTCAGAGAGCTTTCCGTCATCTTCCACTAGCTAATAACCTACTGCACTTCCTACCTTCAGAGGCTGGCGAGTTGAGGGAGCTGCAGACACCAGACATTTCTGCCAACTGTTTGCTAACTTCCCGTGAGAGGCTTCACCCGGGCCTTTCCCGCAGAACCTCCTCGGCGAGTGCAATGCCACCTCTGCCCGCCGCCCAGCCCTGGCGAGCTCTCTCTGGCTGGAGACCATCTTGCGTTTCTGCCTCTTGAATTAGGTCGATCTCGAGAACGACAATGCGTGGATAACCACCTTCACCTGAAAGGCTTGCCATCCTAGCTGCACAATCAAGTCATTGGGTGCAGCTGCTTTCCTTTTCATCCGGACCACTAACCGCTTCCTCCCGCCGAGGCGAAGGCCGAGGGGCAGGGAATGACCGCATCCTGTGTCTGCAGGAGTTGGCCATCATGCCCCCCCACCCCCCACGTTTCCTAAAGCGGAACTTTCTCCCGTCTCCTTGCCCAGAGTCTCCTGGGAGCATAAAGTCTAGCACTTAATAGAACCCTCCCCTTTTCTGGCTGGCCAACAGGGTACCGTGCTGGTTATTCAGTTCAATATGAATCGTTGGTGTTTACCGATAGTCCCCAAGAGGGATCTCACACTCACACTGACATTCACCTCCATGCAGCGTTGTCTCTCACACGCTGGCTCACCTAAACCAGCGGTCGCCAACTGGTGGTCCGTGAGGTCCGAAAGGTTGGCGACCGCTGACCTAAACGCTCTCTTCCTCCTGCAGGGACACTGCAGTCTCAGACACTGCCTCTCAGACACTGCTCTGCCCAGGCTGGGAGAGTGCTGTCATTTTAAAAATGTTTCAACTCTAACTCAAAATAAGAAATACGCTTTTATTGTAGCCTGGTACACATTAAAACGAGGAAGGGGGTAGGAGGTTTACTGAAAATATGACACTGATATTTTAAAAATTGTGGTAAAATATACATAACATAAAATTACTATTTTAGCCATTTAAAACTATACAGCTCTGTGGCATTAAGTGCATTCACACTGTTGTGCAACTGTCACCACCATCCATCTCCAGAATTCCCAAAATGAAACTCTATACCCATTAAACAATAATTCCCCATCCCCTCTCCCTCATTCCTTGGCAACCACTATCCTATTTTGTCTATAAAATTGACTATTCTTGGTATCTCATATAAGTGTAGTTATATAACATTTGTCCTTTTTACACTGATACTTTCTCTTTTATTAAAAAAAATTCCAACTGAAATTGATTTCATCACCCACTAATGGGCTGCAACCTGTGGCTTACAAGCAGGCTTAGATGGGCCCTCAGGGAAAGGACTGCCTATAGAGACGACAGAGAGATGGAGACAGGGACAGGCAGAGAGATCGCCCGGGTTCAGAGAGTAAGGACCATGCCACACAGACTGAGTTGGCAGCATCAGCCCAGAACTTAGGGTGTGACCTGAGGAGCACGGGGAACCTTGGGGAATGTGTATGGGGAGAAGGACTCCCTCGCAAAAGGCCAACTACCTGGAGGGGTTGTTACATAGAGTTCAACCCCCGACTAAAAGGAAATGGAAAAAGGCTTCAAAAAGACACTTGGGTAAAATGCAAGCATTCCTGCTACCCAAGGGAGAAAAGGCAAAGATAAATTTAGCCCTGGGAAGGAATTTTCTGGATAAATCCTGGATTATATCACGGGATGACTAGAAACATAGGTGACAAATTAGTTCCAAATGTCAAGATTTAAGTCTGAATCGTTTATGAAAGACAAAAGGTTTTTAAAAATGGTACCCAAGGAATTTAGGTTCATCGGAGAGTGCAGACCCTGGGAGCCCCGTGGAGGGGACCCGTATCTGGAGGCCCCGGTCACCTACTGGTAGAATGTTCAACCCGTGGAGAGAAAAGAAACAATCCAGGGACTTGCCCACCACGAAGCTCGCTCTCTCTGCTTCCTCCCCACCTATTGGGCAAGAATCAGGGCTCTGGGAAAGGAAAAGCATCGACTTCTCACTGAAAAGCTGCGGGCCACTGTCTCGGGATTACCGACTACGAGCTGACAGTGACTTCTTTCCTGGGCTCTTTAGGGCCTGAAGAGAATGGTTTTTGGGGGCACATCCAAAGATGAAAGTGCTCCAAAACACTCACCAGAGTGTCACTTTTCAGTGCTGAAGAAATAGCTATACACCTTAAGCCATTTCTCTTTCCAGAATGTCTTCTAGGAACCAGCATTTTGGGGTGGGGATAACAAGTCCTTGTGGGAAAATGACCATGCAAGGAGGACAACAAACGACCACAGCCGGGGCACAGGTGGTCAAAGTTTAGATGATCACAGAACTTGTAAACGATGGCTGGACATACATATCAGGTCTGCACGGATATTACTGTGCTCCATAAATGCCAGGGATGTGTGTGACTTCGCTTATCACATACTCTGGGAGTTAGCCATGTCGGTGAGGATAAGAGGGGAAACAAAGTTGGAAGTTGTTCTGGTCCATCAGAAGACATCTCGTTATACCAAACCCAGGGAACCTACCAGGGAGGCTCAAAGCCTGAGAGTGGGTACCACTCCATTCCCTCATTTCCCTCCTGGGACGAGTCACTGGGTAAGAAGCTGTAAATTCCAAACAGTGTGTGCTTGCTGCCTGTGTTCTGTTTGCCCACTAGATCCATTTTCTACTCTTCCCCGTCCTTTTCTTTGCCCCTGAACTATATCAACAAGATGCTTTGCCCGGCTGATGTAGCTCAGTAGCTGAGTGTTGACCTATAAACCAGGAGGTCATGGCTAGATTCCCAGTCAGGGCGCATCCTGGGTTGCGGGCTCGATCCCTAGTTGGGGAACTATAGGAGGCAGCTGATCGATGATTCTCTCTCATCGTTGATGTTTCTATCTCTCCCTCTCCCTTCCTCTCTGAAATAAACAAAAATATATTAAAACAAAAAACAAACAAAAATAAGCTGCTTTGTCCTTTGATTGGGCCAGTGGGAGGTGCCCACAGGAGAGGAGGGTGAGGGTCGTATTCCCCTGACTCCTTGGCAGTATCTCCATACATTGCTGTGCCCCTCTCACGCAAAGTACCTACCACACCTGCTCGGCGTTAGTTTTGGTAATAATGCTCCGTCACCTGGATCCTTTAGGCCTAAGGGTGGATGGTTCCCCAGGGTTCCCAGCTCCATCCCTTAAACCTACCCACGTGGACCTTTGTAAATAGTCTTTTCATTCAACTCTCCTCAATCCCCCAGTCAGATGTGCCTTCTGTTTCTTGTCGGGGCCTGATAGAGGGGTTATTTAGGCTTCAGCAATGGGTGTGGGCAAACACATAGATGATGAGATGAAAAACAAGTGGCTGAAATGGATATCTGATCAGGGCTTAAAGGTCATATCTCTTGCTTCCAGGCCAGTGCACAAGCAAAGAGAAGTCTCCTAAAGGCCAAGACTATTGTGGAACCTAAGCTTGAATTTAACTCTACTTCAAATGCTAACTTAAAAAAACCCCACCATAATCACTCATCACTCGTTTTCATATGATCAAGCAAACCATTAGTTAAAATAGTGGAATGTAATTATTACATATACAGTGATTGAATTAAAGATCATACACCTGCATGGGATAAACAGACCAGGTATAAGAGAGTGAATCTTTTGTCTCCAGTTCTTTGCTGAAGACTAGCTCCTCTTGGGACTAGTTAGCTCCTATTCATCCCTTAAGGCCTCAGCTTAGAAATCAGGTTTTCAAGGCCAAAGAGCTAGCTGGGAAGAGTCAGGCCTTGGAGCCAGGCCTCTAACGTGAAATTCTCTATTAAGCAGTGCTTCCACTGCACAGGTACAGTGATGCTGTACCACTGAGCGGCCTACACTATTGCAACTTTATGATAACTATGGACATGGGAGTTATTCTTTACAAACTTTTTCTTTCTTCAGTAATGTACAGTCTGATGAATATCCTTCTCAAACCAAAGAAAATGTTACTTATAAGACCATCTCTTATTATAAAAGTGTCAAGTTTTTGTCCAGTTCTAGATTTCTAGTGACACAATATACTGGAGCTAACTGTAGCAGTTTCTTTCATAATCAAATGCTGACGTTCATCAAAGCACTGATGTTTTCTTTCTAGAAATCGGGTGAAATTTAATTATTGTCCATTCTGAAAAATGTCTTAATAGTGTTTTATTAGGTGGGCTTTTAAACCAACTTTTTAAATTTCAATTTCATTAATATCAGTTTCTACCTGAAAAATAGTTAATCTCAAACAATTTAAAGCAAGATCAATTGTGAAATATTAGGTAAGTTGAAAAATCCCAGGTGAGGGCAAAAGATCTGTGCTTACAGTGTCAGAAGCTTGGTGAAAAATTGCCTGAATCTGATTGTCTGCATAAATTTCCAATCCCCAAAGGCTCTACATTTCTGTAGTGCTAAGCTTACCACAAAAGTATTTTTTATGGATGTTTCAGATTCAGAGGAATTAACCTTGTCTAAAATGCTCCTTTCAATAATGAAAATGCATTCTTTCATAATTAGAATCAAGAAATGATTTCTAACCTGACAGTAAATTTTATTACACATAGTTCTATTTTCTGAGGTTTCCTCATTTCTGACTAGGTAACCTATACTTAGATTAGGCAATCTTTCCATCCATCTGCTAATTCTCACAGGATGGGTGTTCTTTTCATTGCTGCATTACATATAGGTAAAATCAAGACCCTACTCCTCTGAAACATTTTCACTAATCATATATTACTGGGTACCCTCTGAGAAAGGTAATTATTTTTGAAGAGCCCAAATGACCTAGAAATAGAATATATAAAGTATGAAACATATTATTATTAAGCATACAAAGTCATCAATTAAGAAGACTGAAAGGCAACAGACTAAAATGTTAACAGGTTATTTCACTGTGATATAATTATGCATGGAATAGTGTCATACTTTCCAATGAACTCTTCAATGAACATACATTGTTATTAATAAAAAAGAGAGAAAGCATTCAAACTCTATAAAATATAAAGTAAAAATCAGAATATCCAATGGTGTACTATGATTATGAGCTTGTAAAGGCGTACAATAATGGGCAAAAATAAAGGTAATAGAAAAAACAGTTGATTTTCAGGGTGTTTGAATGGTGGATTCCTTTTCTCTCTGTTAGTGTCAGATGCTGTTTGGGGGGGGGGAGGGGAAGGAGGGGTTATATAAAAGGAGTAAGATTCTTCCATCAGGAGAACTGGAAGGCAGGACACTGAAACAATGGGCAGTAGGAGGGGGTCACAGGCCACTGTCCACAGAACATCACATGGGCAAAGGCACGCTCCACTGCGTGTGATGCAGTTACTTCTCTTATGGGAGCGTGAAGAGGAAATGCTGAGGCTACACTGGAAATGGGGACAATCTGGGCCCTTTTTGCCAGGGACCATGTGTCCTGTAGGAGGTGTGGACAGGGAGCTCTGGGGACAGGGGTCAGGATACCTCTATAGCTCTAGAGACTGATGTGATCAAACCGAATCTAGAGCTAATTAAAACTTTGGCTATTAGAAATCCTTTGGGTATATTATTTTGGTTAGCCAAGTTTTTCTAATGTCTGGAGGTTTGTCTTTTATAGTTATTCTAAAAACCACTTAAGAAGGAACTATTTCCAAAAGTTATCTTTTTAGAAGGAAACAATTCAATCTATTTATCCATTCCCCTCACCCTCCAATTTCCTAAGGTTATCATTATACAAATTGTGAGGTATATATGGCTCTTTTTCTATATTTTTTGGTTCAGGATGATTGGATTCTTTTGGTAGTTTGTTTTTTGCACTTTTTATATTTACGGAAGAGGTTCTTAGTCAAGGATTAGTATGAGCAAAACAGGAGTTTTAGCACACATATTTGAAACACCAGCTCTCTCTGCTTCCTGGTTCATCTGTAATTGAGGCAGATACAGCTGCTAGCCGCTAAGTGAGGGGTCACCGGATAAGATGACAACGATGGCCTCCCCAGCACAATGCCTCTATTCCATTTCCACTGAGTTACCTCTGGTCATCAGCTCCGTTTTGACTGCTGTTCAAGACAATTCTCCAAAGATCCGAGGATACCAGTGTCTTCTGGTCATTCACAAGATTGACATCTGGCAACTGCAGTTCACAAACTTTGCTTTCAGACAGACTAAATTCTCGAAATGCAACAAAAACCTTCTGGAGTTCATCCCAGTATTCCAAACTGCAAGGAATCTATATTAAAATAAAAAAGGTTTCAGAGGGTGCAAATGGGAACTATGATGCTATGTTTGTTAAAGTGCAAATTAAACCTTCAAACAAGTTACAGCATTATAAGACTTTTAAAAAGGGTTAAGTAGTTCATAATTTCTTTATAATGAATACTTATATTCATGTTGCTTACCTATTTTATTTTAAGAGACCCATTCAAGAATACGTGAGCTTTTCCGGTGGTGATGCCCTCCCCAGGACAACATGGCCCTCGCCAAGGACGTCCTCCATCCCTCTCCAGAAGAGAAGAGAAAGCAAGAAGCACCAGGTGCAGAGCCCCAGTTCCTACTCCTGGATGTGAAACACCCAGGATGCTGTAACATCACCACCACCTCTGGCCCTGCACAAACGGTCATTTTGCATGTTGGCTGCTCCGCATCCTCCGTCAGCTGACAGGAGGAAAAGCAGGGCTTGCAGAGGATGCTCCTTCAGAAGGAAGCAGCACTAAAAGCACCTGAAGCAAGGTGAGTGGGGAATCATCCCAATAAAACATTTCGGATGCAAAAAAGAAACAAATGTGAAAAGAGCCAAGAAAGTTTTTAAGTGGAAGAGAAACAATGGGGAACAAATTCTATCAGGTGTTATTAAAAGATAACATTGGAGTAGTAACATCCAAATAGATCAGTGGTTCTCAACCTGTGGGTCGAGACCCTTTTGGCGGTGGAATGACCCTTTCACAGGGGTCGCCTAAGACCATCCTGCATATCAGATATTTACATTACGACTCATAAAAGTAGCAACATTACAGTTATGAAGTAGCAACAAAAATAATTTTATGGTTGGGTCACAACATGAGGAACTGTATTTAAAGGGCCAGAAGGTTGAGAACCACTGAAATAGATTAAAAGAATAGAATAAAAATAGTATAAGATGTAAGCACCAATACATTTCAGTATGTAATAAAGATGGCATCTCAAACAAGTAGGGGAAAGAGGTTGCAAGAACTGGCTAGCCATTTGGTAAAACCAAAGTGGGTCCCTACATCATTCCTGTATTAAAGTAAATTTCAAAAGGACTAAACATTAAAGGCTAAAAACTAAAAGGTTAAAATTTAAAAAATCAGTTGATATTTTTATCATAATAGGGCATCCTTTTTCCATGCATGGCTTGGAACTCACGGTTGTAAAAACCCCACAATCGATGAAATAAAATTAAAACAAAAACAAAGTAGAAGTATAGTCAATGATAGACCTGGGAATAATTGTTGTGATAGCAGAGAGCTCTTATAAATCAGTAAGATGATAAGTGAGCACACAGAAAAATAACAATGGCAGTTGTCGGAAGAGGCAATTAGCCATGGGACTTAAACGTCTCTGCAGATTCTTACTAATTACACAAAGGACGCAGGGCCCTGAAAACTGTTAACTGGGACCATTTCGCAGGCTGTGTTTGCAGAGAGCAACCAGGCGGGATGAGGCAGTCTCTCTCTAGGACCAAGGGCAGGTGTGCTCTGAAAGAGGTCAGTGACAAGCTCCTTGCTCCTCAGCTGAGTCACCTATGGACTCCACGCATAACATCCCCCTGGGTGCCCTTCTGCTTTTGCCCTCTTTGGACTTGGCGGCAAGAGAAACCAATGCAAACGTGATGCTCATGCTGCTTGTGAGCAATAATGTTCTTTGTTTCTGACTCAGAGTCATGTGTCTTCAGCCAGAATCCATGAACCACTGACAGGCAAATTCATTAGCTTGCACAGATAGAATCCCAGACATTGACAGCAATTAGTTTACCAAAAATATAACCAGCCTGACACATGGAAAGATACTCAACTTCACTAATACTTAAGAAGTTCAAAATAAAGCAATAATGTAATATTTTTAATTCATTAATTTGGCAGTTTTGAAAGACTGACAGTTCCCATTTCTGTAGAGGTGAGAGCAAAGAAGGTGGGGGTGGGTGGAGGTGGGCAAAGGGGGGAAAAAGAGAGACACCTGCAAAAGTGGCACATTATTTTTAAAAATACTCTTAGCAGTCTTAAACGGTTTGGCTCAGTGGATAGAGCGTCAGCCTGCGGACTGAGGGGTCTCAGGTTCGATTCCGGTCAAGGGCATGTACTTTGGTTGCGGGCACATCCCCAGTAGGGGTTGTGCAGGAGGCAGCTGATCGATGTTTCTCTCTCATTGATGTTTCTAACACTCTATCCCTCTCCCTTCCTCTCTGTAAAAAATCAATAAAATATATTTAAAAAAATACTCTTAGCATCTAACAGTTCTGGGGACACAATAGGATCTTAATAAAAGCTTCCTGAAAGAACAGATTTCTCCTTAACCTTTCTTTCCTTAATAGTGATTCTAAATCCTTTAATGGGGATATATGTTATCCCCACCTATAAGGAAGTTTCTTCTCTTTCAAGGAACTTGAGCATTCATGTGTGAAGAGGTGCCAGATGGGAGGAAGGAGAATGTATGCACGAGAGGCTAACTGTGATGAAACAGGCATATGTTCTGGTCAATGGTAAGTAACACATCCATAGCATTCTACTTCCAGCTACCATTTCTTGAAATTCTTTTCTTGTTTTCCATGACGTCCTTTTTCTAACTTTCTCCTCTGGGTCTTTGTTCCTATATCCTCTCTCAGCCCGAAATACCCTACACTCTCTAGTTTCTTGTTGTCTCACACTTAAATCCTTCCCACCTATCAAGGTTCAAATGAAATACCACCTTCTTTTAGTGTTTTCACCTCTCCTTTTTCTGAACTACAATGCTTTTTTATTTTTATTTTTTAAATATATATATTTTATTGATTTTTTTACAGAGAGGAAGGGAGAGGGATAGAGAGTTAGAAACATCAATGAGAGAGAAACATCGATCAGCTGCCTCCTGCACACCCCCTACTGGGGATGTGCCCGCAACCAAGGTACATGCCATTGACCGGAATTGAACCTGGGACCCTTCAGTCTGCAGGCCAACGCTCTATCCACTGAGCCAAACCGGTTAGGGCTACATTGCTTTTTTAAAAATGGGATCTGCTTCATAGCTCTTACCCCTGTATACCTCATGTCACAGTTATTTCTATATCTAACATCGTCCCTGGTAGCCACAATCCTTGAGGGCATGATTTCTATTTGGCAAAGCTATGGATTTTCACAGCACCCGGAAAAGTGTATACAGTGAATGTTCAAAAAAAGTTGTTGAATGAATAAATAAATAATTCATGAATGAATGAATGAGTGAATCACATACTGGTGATTTGGCCCATCTCTGACACATTAAAACTTCACCACGAAGTATAGAAGATTAAAGCATGAACACTGGAGTCAGACCTATGAGATTCAAATCCTGGTTCCATTAGCTATGCATTCTTGGGCAGGTTAATTTCTTAACATTAGTTCCTATACCTCTAAAAAGAGGAAAATAACAGAACTGTCATGAACTATTATGAGGATTAAATGAGACAAAGCATCTCATTTAGTAGCACATCCTAAAAGTTTAAGAAATGTTAGTTATGAATTACTTATCCTTCTCGTGCTCAACGAACACTTCTGAAGCATGGGTGCTATGATCAGATTGGGCAGTGGTGATTAAGAGTACTGGTTGTTAGGTTTCTTTACAATAGGTTGGATTTGGAAGAAAACAGTAAACCCCGAACCTGGGTGTTCAGAAACATTATAATCATAGTTCAACAGTTTTCTGCTGCATACCTGTTACCACGTGTCCCTTCATGTTGGCTAGGACTTGAGAGACAAAGGAATATCTTTTTGCTTAATTCCTCTCTGGACTGCCAGTGACTGCCAGTGAGTCAGCCCTCTGGCTTAGGACACTCACAACCAAAGGTGGTAAGATGTGGGGAGTGGTGTAAGACATATGTGTAAGAATATAAAAGTTTCAATGGAAGAGGACAAATGAGTTTAGGAAAAGCATATTTAAAACACCTATTTTAAAATACAAATAATAGAATGTAAAGTTCAAAATCATCGTTGTGGTAGAGAGGTTACACAGAAAAGGGTGAACATATACTTTGTTTCTGGTATTGTCTCCAGACGTTCTCCATTAAATTAATAAATAATAGCTCAGGAGAATTAGCTGTCACGTTGGGAAGCAGAGTGGGGCCTTAAGGAAAAAGCCCTCATAGTTTTAATGTACGAGGCGTGGGTTGGAATAGGTCCATACTTAAGGGAATCCAGGCTGGGAACCATTGTGGGCAGCCATTGGCAGTTTCATGGCAATTACAGTGGACTGCACCAACATGGGCTTAGAGGAGAGCAACTGAGATAAATAAAAAAGAGAAATTTGGAAGAAAACCAAATAAAAAACTTTATTTAGTTAGCAACTATGTGTGAGGCTGGCTCTGTGGTTACATACTTCAATTGGAACATTCCAGGCTACTTTGAAAATTCAAAAAACAATAAAAAACTACTAAAGAAATACATCCCCAAATATGCCAGTTATGTGTTTGTCAGGAATTTTCTTTATACGCCCCACTTTCCTTGGTTAATAAAGGGTTATTAATAAATTCGCTCCCAATGAAAATTCTGTTGAAAAAGTTTTAAAATTGTATGCCTGTAAGTGCATTTGCAAAAGTCACATATTAACTCTTTTGCCATTATAAGAATATATTTATCTTCAAAACTTCAAAAGAAAAGCTAATAACACTGAATATAATTAGTATTTTAAAGGGAACTTTAGTCAACTGTCCATTTAAATATATATTGAGCCATAAATTTATAAATCTTATGGATATAATCTTTGTATTTTCCTATTTCTCCATCATAAAAAAATCTTGTTGTGGGTCCACCCCACCAAGAGCTCCTGAGCATCTCTCTGCCCCCAAAGCAATAAAGGTGTCACCCACATCCCTCAAGCCCCCTCTGCAAAAAATAAATGAATAAATAAATAAATAAATAAATAATCTTGTTTGCATGAAACCCTGGCCCTGCCACTTGAATCACTGTTCTAAGACCTTGAGCAACTTATTTAATGACTCTGAGCCTCATCTGTGAAATGCAGCAAATAAAAAACCATATTATT